CCGCTGGGCCTCCGCCGGCAGCAGGACCAGGGTGCCGTCTAGCGGATCTGCCGGCACACGGACAGGGAATCACCATGCTGGCCAGGCCAGTCGTTTCAGAAGACACCAACGCTGTTGTGCTTCCCAACAATTCCACAAGCATAAGCATCTCATGCAAAACACAGCCATAACCCTGCAGTCACCCCCCTCCTCTTCCCTAACTACTCTTACTTAGTTAGCAGCTCTTGCTGCAGGGAGGACAATGTAACTTCACACTGAAGGGGGTGGGGGGGGAGAGAAAAAAAGGAAAAAGGAGAAGCAATACTGCCAGAAGCAGGTTTCACAAAAACTGAAGCTTCTAGTCTATCAGATTAAAGTCCTGCTAACTGGAACTAAGGATTTTAATCTTTTTACTCACCTTTAGGAAAAGACACACATAGTAAGGGACTGAACTAATCTCTGCCCCTGCCCTGGACACATAGGCTGTACGTTTGCCTAGGAAACACCAGTATTTTCTACATATTGCAACTTCCCTGCCAAGTGATGGACAAAATTCATCACGCTACACTGTAAGAATCTTACCGTATATTCGAGCAGCAGTGGCTTGTAAACTTTGTAGCAATTCCTTGTTCGAACGAGAAGCAGCAGAGTGAATGATATCAATCAGCTGATTTGAAAGCTCAGGGTTTCTCAAGCCAAGCAAAGCAAGCTGCTGAGGTAAGCCAGCCAACCAGCGAGATAAAACTTTACTTCGACTTCTAAAGAAAGAGAGAAAATAACTTGGGGATGAGGGGACACCAAACAACAAAAACCCCACAAACTTACTCTTTCCAGTCTTGATTAAGTTGCTTTAATGTCAGGTTCAATTAAATTACAATAAACTACAAGACCACAATTTCCTGAGAATATTTCAACCAGAAGATCTGAGCACATTGGTGCTAGTGTCACATCAGAAGTCTTTAATTGATCCATAGACTTTGCACTGCGTATTTTCAACTCTTTCAGAAAGTATTTGTGTTAACTGACCGTATGCTGGCAAAGCAACTTTTCCATTTATCATTAGTTTTATCAGTTTATGTTTAATGAGTTATGAGTCAGGCTAAAAAGCCGTGAGATTACTACACCCTGAATAATACCAAACCCCCCAAATCAAGCTACTACTCTTCAGACTAGACTTTTAAATTCAGTTATATCTTTGTTGATGTCTTGCTTGTCAATTCAGGTACATCTTCAAGTAGATGAGAAGCTAGAACTGGTTGCTTTAAATAGGAGATGATAACATTTGTTTACTTTCTTACCCTGTTCAACTGCTATAGTAAATCAACTACTTACGTCAACCATAATCAAGTTTCTCCTCCCACCTCCTCCCCAAGATCCAACCCCCTTTTTTGTTTTTCAGGCATAGTTTAATTTTATCAGGAGCGATGATTAAAAAAGAAGCAACAATATTAAAAATAAGATATAAAAATGTAAACAAATTCTGTATTTACATTTTTTTTCCTGAACAAATTAACTTGGGTGATTAAAGACTACTGCTTTCCGTTTTAAAATTTTATTTCTCTTTGTATTATTTATGAAGAGTAAGCACTGAATTATTATAATGAAGGTTTTTCAGGTAGGTCTTTTACCAACACTTTTCAAATTCTAAGTAAATTTTTAAAATGCAATTTAATAGTTCACACTAATTAAAGTAAGGATTCCTGAACCCCATTTATAGTTTTACCACTGAATTCCTATGGCACACAAGCAAATTACTTCAAACATGGCTCTCCTAAAGGTGCTACTATAGCACCTTTCTATATTATTCTTAATAGATCTGCCACCTCCTTATACTCAAAACTACATCAAAAACTTTAGGAACCAAACCAAATTCTTACTCTATGCACAAGCCATAGAGAGCTAATACAGTAATTTATTTTCCCCTGAACATCAATACAGCCAATTACTAACCCGCACGCTCCAAATGTAGAAAACACAATAGAAAGGAAGCAGAAGGGACAACTGGAAGAGTAATTTAGTTGAATTTGCAAGATTAGCAATTAGAGAAGGAAACTTGACATTAAAAAAAAATCAGAATGAAGAAATATCAAGAGATTCAACTTTCTACCATGACTTTTTCAAGCAGAACTGCACATCAAGCTCTCCACTTCAAAATTTAATGGTTGAGCCCTTGGGGTTAGCTTTCACAGCGTGGCTCCACTGAACTACCAATTTGCTCCTGCCAAAGCCAGACATAGCATCATGGGTATGGCCTCACCAGTACTGACCAAAGACAGATAGGCCACACTGCTGGCCACACTCCTCCTAACATAACCCACGGTGGTTTGCCCTACACTCATGGTGGGAATGCACTGTTAACTTATATTCAGCTTAGCATATACGGTACCCCCCAGATGATTTTTTTTGCTATTGCAGCTGCTCAGCAATAAAGGTATTAAGAAAGTGTGCTGTGTCAAATGCTCTGCCCTTGTCCCTTGCAGCCAGTCATTCACCAGAGTGCTATCATGCTGGTAAAGCATGAAATCATACTCTTATACCCATCCCAACTTGTTCCTGACTACCTGCTTGCCCCTTACGTGTTCAGAAATCAGTTCCAAGCCAAGAGGCTACATGATCTTTCCAGGGAGTGAGCTGAGGCTCATCAGCTTGAAACTCCCCAGATTCTCTTCAAAATAGGTTAGTAACAGTCTTTTTTAACCAACCACACAGAACCTCCCGCAGTCACCGTGTTTTTTCATGGATGACAAATAAGGGCCTCACTTTCACATGGGAGAACTTTTTCAGTCTCCCTGTGTACCTATCTGGGCCACAGATTTCACTACATTCAGCTGATCAGATTCTCCACTGCTAAATTTAAAGAAGCTTTTCTTTGCATGTATCTTCCGCTACAGTGTAATATCTTTAAAAATTACACTTGCTTGTTTTCCAAGGTTTTTTGGTACACTTAGCAATTAACAGGATATTTTTTTAATATAAAATTTAGCCAGGCATTTGCAAACAAGAATCCTGTGATTGATCTTTCTCCTTCTATATGCTGCCTGTGTACTAAGCTTGCTTTCTCTTCCTGCAGAAGAAGCAGGTGCTGGTATCAAATGAAGCTAGAAGGAGCCAGGATCAAAAGAAACAAAAGGAAGCTGGTCTTCAAACAGCTGAGCTTTGTCTAATTCTTGCCTTCTTCCTATAGCATCTCACATACGTCAGTGTTGAAGGCAGGCTGTGGGGCTAAATAGCCATTTAAGCCTCTACCAGTATATATATATGCATATGTGCGGGTGTATACACACACAGATTGTATTTGCATGTATACACAAAATGACTACACGTGTGTAGCAATCAGGGGGGAAGATAACTGACATCAAGACCAAAATATTAATTTTGAACCTTGTAATATATCAATCAAGTTTTCTTTCACAGGGTAACAATAGGCCAAAAGCTCCTACCCAGCCTATGAATCAAATACACCTAACAACGAAAAGCTTTGCTTAAATGTCCTTGGAAAATGTTCCAACATGAATTCTGCTCCTCTTAAGACTGCTCTTGACAAGCTTCTGAGAAAAAATAAAAATAAAAAAAATTCAGGAGAGCAGTCACAGGAGGGCTGAAGGAGCTATGGCATCAAACTGAGTGGAATAGTATGAATGTCATCCAGGATCTACTGCACAGTCCACATCTTGAAGAAATGAAAAACCCCCACTTGTTTCTAAAGGAAAGAAATGGGTCAGTACAGTACACAAATATTACGTCATTTTAAAATATCTTGTCAGACATAAATGCAAAGAATTTTTGAGATTTCATTCTTCTGTTAGTAAAAATGTCACAATTCCATGTAGAAGGCTACGAGGAAAAGCAGGAAAATTACTGCTATTTGTGATGTCTAAAGATAAGAAGTTAAAGGTTTCTGGATAGTTAGATGATCACATGAAACTTGATGAGATGTTCAAGACTTCCAGGTAAGTACAGAAAACAGTGGTTACATAACTTCAGGGTAATTAGTCAGTATGAAAGAGATCTCTCTCTCACTCTGGGTGAAAAGAGGAGGAAAATGGGATATTTCATAGCCTTCTTCGTGTCTTTCAAATTCCCTAAACTTTTTACAATGTTCACAGGGTAGCGTTAGACATTTCTGGGCATAGATCTAATTACACGTACTCAGGCAACCACAGTGTAAGATTTAACAAAGCAAAGGAGTTGCAGAAGAGAACAGTTTCCCCAAAGCTTGACTCTGCTGGTGGATACCAGTACTCCTGGGTGCCCTGGTTTGATTTTTACCTAGTAGCAGAAACAGGTATCACGGGTATGATCTTATGTCCCTTTGCAGTTCTCAAACAAGGTGGGATTAATGCAGCCTGATCTGTGTTTAAGGATTTTAGTAGCTGGAACCAGATGACTTGGCTGAAAAATACCTTCTGGAAAAGCTAAGGCTTGGAGACAATTTAGACTAATTTTATGATAAAAAAGTGTAATAATTGCAATATAGAAAATAATCTCTTACATGAAGAAAGTCAGATATCTAACAGATGCATGAAACTGGGAACCCAAAAGGACAAGAACATTTTCTTAAACCCACTCTCTGTAGAACCATGCACCCAAAACAGTAGGAGAGTACTTTTCTTAAAAAAAACAAGTACAAAAGGCTAGACATGCACTACCAGAACCCAAAGGCACTAAGTCACAAGTCCATGACCTCAGACTGAAGTAATGGAAATGCTCCACAGCTATAGCTGCACAATCTTGACACACATACTGACTACCACACTGTCAGTAACAATGAGCTTGCAGCAATGTACTTCAAGTTCAATTTTAAAATTATTAAGAACTATCTAGTACTTAAAGAAAAAAGACAACTAAGCTACTGCACATCTCAATCTCACAACTCACAGAGAACCTAAACTTTCAGATTTCAGTGGCACAGTGCCGAAACAGATTCAGAACGAAGTTTTATTACATAGAAATCCAGTACTCTTAACTTTTGAAATAAATATATGTTGAAATGAGAAAGAACACATAAATGGTTTTTACCTGATTCTTTGAGTCCTCAAATCTTCTTTTTGGTAAACTCTGCTAAAAAATTTCAAAAGCAATGTACGAACAGGGAAGAGGAGATTCCTTTGCTGGTATAGTGTATATACTGCTTTTATCAAGGGTTCGGTTGCCACTAGAAAGAAAAATACATAAGAAACTGAAGTAGGGCTTGCTGCTTAATATTCTGATTTTATACAAATATATACACAGAAGAGCTATAATCTGTATATGCAACTATCTACATTTAACTCCACAGGTAAGTACCACAACTTTTTAAAACAACTACTGGATAGACTTCTAAACCATCGAAACACCACCTTCTTGTGTAGCTTGTGAAAGAGCCACACAAATGACTAGTGACCACTTGTAAGTGAAAGCTTCAGACCTTCTTGAAGACAAGACAGTGCACAGTTTGTAAGGTAGCTGAGAACCAATAAAGTCCTGCTTTCCACTGCTGTCTTCCAAATCCTTTTCCACTAGTACAGTAACCTCACACCGATCTCTTTTACCGCTCACCCAAACCTCACTGTCACAGTGCCTTCAGTTCTCTCTGTACTACCCCTTTCTCCCTCCCACACACACCAGCCTTACCAGCTCTCCATGTCTTTGAACCAGCTGGCTCCAAATCACATCTTCTGATTAACCAGAAAATATATACCTCAAGAGGCCACTGGCAAGCCACTACAAAGAGAACTGCTAAACTCGCACTGCAACCTTTTCTTCTCTGAAGCTCTCATCAGCTATATGTTATCACCAGACTTAAAACCACATAAGAAAGCTCAACCCTTATGTCAAAGTTGGCTAAAACCAGCCAGAGAGTGCAGAAGTTATTGTAGTACGCTTAGAAACAGACCAATCATTTTCTTTGGAAACCAGATTAAACAACTGGATGTAAAAATTAACAAACCATGAAAAAAAAAATCATACAAACATCCAAATTCAGAGAAGACAATCCTGGAAAGAATGGGAAAGCATCTGAAAAACTAAGAGAGAGATGAAGGGTACGAGACCTGACTCAATTTGCCTCAGAAGAGCTTGGGGTCCCAATGGATTAGTTTCTGTCAAGATACACTTAAGTAGCAGCAATCACTTAATTATCTTCATAGACCAAGGCCGGGAAACCTTTGCCTTTTCATTCGGGTGTACAGAGCAGTAAGTTATGTATTCAAAACCAGACAAAATTTCGTGTTCTATAATGAACAGAGCTACTTCCATTCGGGTGTACAGAGCAGTCTTAGTAAGTTATGTATTCAAAACCAGATAAAATTTCGTGTTCTATAATGAACAGAGCTACTTCTGCCCACAGAGACAAGAATGCTCTATACTAAAAATGATTCTGGATGCAGTCAGGGGCTGGTCTTCATCAGTAAAACTCCTATCAGGGAACATATTTAAGTTATCATACAGAGATTCTCACCAAAAGACCCACTATAAAAAGCACCTGAAATGGCATGGTGTGACAGATGCATTCAACCCCTTAACCAAACTAGCAGCCGTTTGGTACAGACTCCAAGGGAGGTAAAGGCCTGAGCCAATAATGGATCAAGAACTCCTCTGGTTTCAATCTGTGATCTGAAAACCCGCAGAGGAGCAGAGCGACACAGTGAACACTGGTGCGTATGAGCTTGGAACACCGATCATGTGATTAACACATGAATAGCGGGTGGCTTTTCCAAGACTCATTTATCATGGAACAAAGGAAGTTGTGGGTACAAGGAGTCTCATGCATACCTTCCCACTGCATGTAATTTGACTACAAGCCAACCAACCACTTTCTCCTATGGCAGCCTAAGTGAGCCTTCTTTGAGCTCTCCCTGTTAGGCAGCACGGCTGCCTGGTGGCGATCTCCCCTTGAGCTAGGACGCCTCTCAAGGCTGCTCCTCAAGGCAGAGAGACCTTTTACCAGCGACAAATCTTTGGTAAGCAACCAGTACTGCACATAACCTTGTAATATGGTAACTTTGATTTGTGCCTTGGTAACTTTGAATCATTGTTCAAGTGACTGTGCCGCACAGTAATAGGGTGAACCTTGCCATCAAGCTTTGTTAAGTCACACTTTTACAACATCGAATTAAAACCACTTCCGCTAATAGCTTTGATGGCTATTCTTTAAGTGATCTAAATCACCCATTTGTGACACATGGTCACACTCAAGAATAATGCAGGGAGCCATTTAGAAGTTGAAATCTAACATACTCGTCAATGGAAAAATACATCAAATATTAGAATGGATTTTAAGGAAGATAAATTAAGTTCATTGCATCAGGAGCATCAACTTGCTGAATTCACATACTCTTCTGGTGAAGATTCATCTGGGACAGCATTTCTTAAACAGAACACTTGCTTATTCTTAGTTGAATAACAATTATACCATTATGTAGTTTTTAGCTAATTATTGAACTGTTAACTGAACAAATATAACGAGAAATAAATATTCTAAGCATGTAGAACGTTCAGCCACCTTCCAATAACTTTGTGGCACATTTAGTAAAGCAGGTCCTACTATTTGAAATGTTTCACATGAACAGGTCAAGTTTAAAAACAGAAACAATTTAAAAATGTATTCTTAAAAAGTAGTACTTAAAAGGTCCACATTATACAGACTTCCAAGATGCAGCCAAAGTCCTCATTATTTTTAACATATTTCAGTTTTAACTGGCCACAGAATCACAGAATGGTTGAGGTGGGAAGGGACCTCTGGAGGTCATCTGGGCCAACACCCCTGCTTAAACAGAATCAGCTACATCTTGCTGTCCAGGACCATGTCCAGACAGCTTCTGAGTATCTCCAAGGATGAGAGACTCCACAACCTTTCTGGGCAGCCTGTGCCAGTGCTTGGTCACCCTCACAGTGAAAAAGGGTGTTAAGACAGCATATCCTGTGTTTCAGTTTATGCCCATTACTTCTTATCTTGTCACTGGGCACCACTGAAAAGAGCCTGGCTCCCTATTCTTTGCCCTCTCCCTTCAGGTATTTACGTACATTGATGAGATGCTCCTGAGCCTCCTCTTCTTCAGGCCAAACAGTCCCAGCTCTCTCAGCCTTTCCTCATAGGAGAAATGCTTCAGTGCCTCATCATCTTCATGGCCCTTGACTGGACTCTTTTCAGCATGTCCATGTCTATCCCGCACTGGGCAGCCCAAAACTGGACACAGTAATCCAGGTGTGGCCTCACCAGAGTAGAATAGAGGGGAAGTATCACCTCTCTCAACCTGCTGTCAACATTCCTCCTAATGCAGCCAGGATACCACTGGCCTTTTAAGCCGCAAGGGCCCGTTGTTGGCTCGTTTTCAACTTGGTGTCACACACCAGGATGCCCTGGTCCTTTCCTGCCAAGCTACTTTCCAGCTGGTCAGCCCCCAGCATGTACAGGTGCCTGGGCTCACTCCTCCCCAGGGGCAGGGATTTGCACTTCTTGTTAAGCCATCAGCCCATTTCTCCAGCATGCCAAGGCTGTATTTCCTCTACAGCTATTAAATAAATTTTAATCTGACATCTAGTCAGGCTTTTAGTACTGCACAAGGATTATCTTGAAGGGATGAGATAAGTTGTCCACACAGAGATACAAATTCATGAGGTAAAGAATTTCCTACTTGCAGGGAAATTCCCAAACCTTTAAAGGATCAGCAGAAAATATCCATAGATACTCATCTTTTGGAATTTTATTTAAACTTTTTTTAAGCTTATTTATTTTCTGCATTCCTGAGGAAAATTACTGCACTGAAGTGGCGACTTTGATAATAAACACACCAACCATTATTCACTATCTGGTAAAAGTTTGGTAGACAAAGGGAAAAATCAGTGTTTCATTACAAGGAAAAGCATGAAGTATCTGATTTAACAGTCTATAACAACAGTTTGGAAACTACTTTCATGAGCAGCAACTCTTCTGCTTTAGCTCAACTGGCAAGACAGGCACATCTCTGACTGTGGACAGGAAGCTAAATTTGGGGTGCAGATAGGAATGATTACTTGTATCTTTGTCATCAGGGACATAGGAATAGACAGATTCCTAACTAAAAATGGATTTGGAAGGAGATACAACTAACTGCCAAAATATATTTGAGGGACATTTGACATCTTTTCATTTTACAACACTAATGATGAAACCTGCTGCTAAGGGCAAACCATTTTCTATGAACTCCACTTGGCTGCATGGCTGTAGAATTCACTTCTACCGACTGGCATGACACAATAGACCCCTGCCACCTTTGGACTTACTGAAAAATTCCTTTCTTAAAGAAGTCCTACCTCAATCACTTAACAGACATATAAACCAAGGTCTCATCTGGTATACAACTAAGTAGTACTTGAAAAGGAAAAAAAAATAAAGCCAAGCCAAAATACTGTACTGGTCCTGCAAGTCACAAGTGGAAATACGTTTTCTCTTGGAAAAGGATTCAAATCAAACACACTGGAAAATACTCTACAGCAGCTTCCATCAGAACTATCTTGGCATTTCATGCCATCACAGAACTAGAATGGTCATCTGACAGTACTCAAGAGAGTCTACCAGATACATTAGTCATTTAAATAAGGATTGAAATATTAACGTATCATGCATCTCTACATCCTAGTAATTATTTTTTCAATGAAGAAAACTCATCTTCCCATTTATAAGAATATCTTAAGAAGTAAAACCAGAAAACAAATATATTAATACTTTGCATACATTCTGGTTTAACTCAGCAAGCAGCTAAACACCATACAGCTGTTTGCTCGCTCCCCCTGTCCCAAGTGAGATGGGGGAGAGAATCAGGGGCAGGGGGGCAGAGAGTAAAACCTGTGGGTTGAGATAAAGACAGTTTAATAAAACAGTAGAGGAAAAGAAGAAGCAGCATGATAAAAGAATATACAAAACAAGTGATGCACAATGCAGTTGCTCACCACCTGCTGGCAGGTGCCTAGACCATCCCCAAGCAGTGATCACTGCCCCCCAGCCAATTTCCCCCCGTTTATATGCTGAGTATGACATCATATGGTATGGAATATCCTTTTGGTCAGCCGGGGTCCCTCCCAGCTTCTTGTGTACCTGGCAGAACATGGGAAGCTGAGAAGTCCTTGACTGGTATAAGCACTTCCCAGCAACAACTAAACCATCAGTGCGTTACCAATATTCTTCTCATATTAAATCCAAAACACAGCACTATGCCAGCTACTAGGAAGAAAACTAACTCTGTCCCAGGCAAAATCAGGACAGCATATCAAGAGTATGAATCTAACAGTATGAATCTAACAGCATTCCTAAAAAATCAAGCAATTTTCAATGCTACATGCAGGGATATGACCATGAAATTCAATTTACCTCCATAGACAAAATACATTATAATGTAACAACCAAGGACATAAGATGAAGTGACCCGAAAATGCCAGAATAACTCAAGCTCTTTGTCAGTGCATAATTTTGCTTTTCAGAAACTCTTATCTTACCCTTGTTTTGCTGTATTTGCATTAGTCTCCAAGTCACACCAAGCAATCTGTTCACCTGCTTGCTATTCAGCTTGCTGCCATCCTGAAGAGTATCCGTCACAAATTTCCTTATCATGTCCAGCCAACCAGAATCCATCTGAAGTGTTGAAGTGCTTGCTAGTGAAACCATTATGTCACACAAGGTTAAGTTCAGTAAAAGATGGTCTACACTGTTTGAGGATGTCATACAATACTTGTTGCTATGGGGGAGGACAGAAAAAAAGAAAAGAGAGAGATTTCAAAAAAATACTTTGTGCCTTTTTATATGCTACATTGGTAGAAATCATATTATGTAGAAAAAATTCTCAGTGTTAAGGTTTTAAAGCCAATACACATTTTAGAAGTCTTCATATTTGACATTTTGGTACTTGAAAATTTTTGTTCTGCCACCAAAATGTTTATTTCTCATATTTATAGGGGCAGCAACAACCAAAGCTCTGAATTGTATCTCTACAGCTGGTTTCTCCCATTTGACATTTTTCCTCTCGCCTAGCAGCACTTTTAGGTGACTGCAACCAGTAACAGAAGGCTAAAAAAAAATTAATCCTTAGTTTCAGTCTCTTCTGTTTCTTCTGTGAGGAATCATATGGATTTCATCATTATCACACAACAAAAGGCAAACAATGACAAAAAGCACCACAAACAGCACAGAGAAATCCATTTATGTACTTTTTCCCAAATTCACGTGGAATAAGAAACACATTTTTCACCATCACAATATTTTGCAGGACCATCCTGTTGCTCTACAGAGGTTTGAAAGACAAAATTAAGGGACATCAAGAAAGGAACCTATGGTATTGCAGCGTGACACATAATGCTAGAACTTCTCTACTTTCTGATAGTCATTCACAGGATACAAAAAAAAAAAAACCACCACAGCATTTATCTACAGAAAGCTGCACAGTATGAATGCCTACATTCAGAACACAAAGCAAAGCTGTGAAAACAAAATAACAAAAAGCACTTTAACCTGTGCTGACATAAGTGTAGTCACCCTTCAGTTCAGAGCCAGCCATTACAATATGAGCAAATAAATCTCAGCCTGTGGACATCACTTACACATGGCATAAATGCTAATAACTTTTTCGTATTCAGAATATGCAGATACTAAGCACTATCAGTAGTACTGTGGTAAATGTCTGCAATATTTTGCAAACTGGAGAAGCCTCAAAATGCCATGCAAGGTTTCCAAGTGCAGGCCTTTAAACCAATATATTGGCAAGCAAGGAAAACAAATGCAACTATTTTTATTTTCATGGCATGAAGCTAAGTTTCCAGAAGCCTTGAAGTAAACAGTCAAAACAAAACCACAAAAAACAGTTTCACAGATTATTTCCCCTGCATGTATCCAACAACATAATTTATTTTAAAGTGCAAGAATGGAGCAATATTTAGTAGCAGAGTGAAGAAGGATCAACAGAAGTATGGTTAGTCAGGGCATCATCTAGAAAACAAGATGGGGGTATTGCCTAACTACTAATTCTAAGATTTTCAGTTTCAAGGAAGGGTGTTCAAATCAAAACCTGGAAAAGCAAAACACCTTTTGGCTTTATGAACTTAACAGGTAAGACTGAGCTGACATGAAAACCTTTAACAAGGAGCTATGCTGTACTTCTAATCTGTGTTCCCCTCCAGGAAGAGAGAATTTAACAGTCAAGATATCAAACAGTATTTCAGCCTCATGTGTCTGAACCATGGTAGACCCTTAGTATAAAAAAAGCTGCTTCTACTACTACAGCTCAGTCTGCAGTGGCACAATTTGCAAGTAATCGAAACCGAGGTAGACACCGGCTGATACCCACTGTACATACACCCGTGTTTTATATGGACTGCAATGGCACAGTGACTCCAGAACAGACTTTGCATGAATATAGTCTCACATCTGGGAGCTGAGAGGGTAGACAACCTGCCACTGGCCTGTGCCAGAACAAAATTGGTGCACCCACTCTGCCAGCTCAATAGTGAAGAAACGTTGAGTGTCTTTGAGTTCTCTTGCTCCAGTACTGCTTTAGCATACAGAAATAGGCACAATGTGTCCTATTTCCCCTCCCAGCTATATTTATCCAGCCCTGTAATACTACCACAGAAGAGTAGATGTGGGCGAAAAAGATGTTTTAACTATGTTTTGATATAATTCAGCAGTCAAATGAAGAAAACATGCAGAAATCTGAAACTAGTCAGACTAACACAAATCACCATTTAGCAATATACAAATTCCAGATCAAGCATTAAATATTTTCATTTCTCTAAGACAGCATTTTAATTTCTACTGGAGGCTATTCAGATGACTTCCTATATAATACTTTACAAAGAACAACCAAAACTTCTCAATTCAAAGCAACGCTACCTTCCTATAAACACTTCTCTACAGATCTTTAAGGAATACACAATAAAAAGTTTTCTTTTCCAACATTAAAAACTTAATGCTGGATAAAGTATATGACTCACTTTGTCTCACTTATCTTATGAAATTAAAAGCTGTAACATGACACTGATTTTATTCTTACCCTTTGCACGAATCTTTCTTTTTGTGCTTTACTGTTTCTTGCAAAGAATAAGGAAAATGACGCATGAAGTGGTGCTTGAAATCAACAAGGTAATTCATTCGAAGCCATACTTCCTGTTAAGGAAAGCAGATGATAGACAGAAAACATAGTAGTAAGTGAAATACATCAATGCAGTCACCTTCCAAAATCCATTACTGGAATCAATGAAAAACAGGAATTTTAGCTTCTGCTTGCAAGTTTTCATATATATTTACTTTCAAATGTAAATGTGAAGTCCTGTGCATGAACCTGAAGGTCCACAAAACAAGGCAGTAAAATTATTGTATAAGTCAAGGTTGAGCAACAACATTTAAGCCAAACTGGACCAATGTATTTTCTTAGCCCATATTAATGTGGGTATATGCAATATTAAACCACGTGAGTTACAGTTATGAATTGAAAGCACTTTCACATCAACTTATCAGGGTACTTAAAATCAGAGCGAACTCTGATTTAGTTGCAGTGATTGTTCTGAGTTCTCTATTAAGACATATTCTGATACTGCCTTCCTCCCTCCCCATCATTAGCATACTTGTAGATCAAAGCCCACAGGCCAACAGCCGGCTTTCTGCCTGCTTCCAAGAGGCCTTCTAGAAAAGATGAAAGGGGAACAGCGTGTTTTGGTTGGACACACTGAATCCATCCCTCAGGCTGTGTATGTTGGATAACTCTGGTCTAATGGAATAATTCCCAATAATTATTCTTACGTAGATTTTCATTTAGCAAATTGACCTACAGTCCTATACACAAGTAAAACAAAGAGCTCTTGAGGCATTACTTCCAACTACTCTCAATAGCCAAAATGGAACGAGAAGTGTTCTTTTTCCAGTTTGCAAAATCTTTGGAAGAGCAGCAAAAGTTACAAAAAATAACAATTCATTTATCAAAGTAAAAACCAGACAAAATAATTGGGGAAAAAAACAACTTCAAGGAGACTTTCCAAAATTCTTACTGAGGTTTTGATTTGATGTCTTGTGATAATACTGATCATGACATAACAACATAGATTGCACCAAGCAATTACAGGCTCTCATACCACCGTTATCCCCTACCTTTCTAAGGGTTTAGGGTCTATTATTCATTTCCACCTCCATAACATTTTTCAACACAAAAATCCAAGGAACAAACACTTCTATTCTACATTTTGTTCAAATTTATATTCTAGAGGTTATCTGGGAGACAAAATGCTCCTATTCTCCAATATCACTTTCAGTTTCAAAAGCTTTTGTGCTGCAGTCTGCCAAGAAGGATTCCTGGAGACCATCAGTGAACTCATTGCTCAGTTCAACAGATTCTCTCCTAGAGCAAGAGACCTGACAAAATCCGAACTCAAATTCTACTCAAAACCTAGGTTTTTTTCTCTCTTAGTAAAGTATTTCCACTACTTCTAATCACCAAATCACTAGCTTCTGATCAAAACAAAATGAACTGTCATTATTGTGCCACTGATCACTTCTCCCTTACCATTTTGTACGTTTCATCATGTCGCTTTGTGAGTTTCCACAATAAATGTATTATACTAAGCACTTGCTGCATAAGCTGCTGAGATTCTGATTCCAAAAGGTTTCCAAGAATGGGAGCTGATTGTGCAGGAGATGCTTCAATCCAGCACTCAATCAGTAATGGAATTATTATCTCAATAAAACCTTTTAAGTTTTCAGCCGAGGACAGGCCTTTTTCTGCACTGTCCATTACACTTGCCAGAGACCTAAATGACAAAAGCGAAAAAAAAAAAAAAAAGAAAAAAGATAAAGATCACAGCTTTAAAAACAGATTAGAGCAATACCACTTTCCTGCTTTCTGAATAACAGGAAAAATTACTTCTTAAATACATTAAATGTTTGCTTGCTTTCTTGCTAGATGTTTCAGTAAGGAAAAAAGGGACTTCAAACCATCTACAACAAACCTGCTCCTGAGTCCCTGCAAGTTTGTCTGCTTTTGTAACAACTTCTGAGATTTCAGTATTTCTTTCCCCATTGTTATATGTAAAGTCTATAAAGTGGAGAAATATCATTTGCATTAGCATATCACCTTCAACCAAAATATCTAAGTTTTAAGCTTCTTGAAGCAAAATAATGAAACTGACTACAAAGTATTGTCAAATACATGAGGTTTATTACAGTTAATAATCATCACCAGCTATAATAAACATAATGGTTGTTTGTATCAATAGCAGGGGGGGAATCATCTGCAAAAATGCAACTTTGGTTCCCACCTGATGTTTAACTATAACACTCTGAGAACAACTAGCTAGAAAATTAAAATGATCAGATAATGAAATTAAACAAAAATTATCAAAAAATGAAAAGAAACAGTTTAAGCTATAAGAACATCTCCCAGAAAGCAAGAAAACCAAGGACTTTTTTCCCCTCTTATAAACACACTTCATTTGTGTTTCAAAACAGATTATCAGCACAAATGACCATATCCTGCTCCTGGATAAATTCAGGCAATTTTTATCCATTTTACAGAGAAGGTTATTTAAAGAAAGAAACTTCAGAATAACTCCTGCTAATTCTAAGCAATACAGAAGCTTCTGAAAAGGTTTCCAAATAACAAGAGCCCTTACAAAAAAAAAAAATAAAAAGAAAAAAGCAACAATTAATTCAGCTGATGATTTCTGACACTGTTTTCCATGATGATTTTGTTTTCTAACCCACAGCAGGGAATTCCCATCATAATTCTAACTTCCTAATACACATGACGCTGAACCTCCTGTTACACTCCTTTCTATTTCAGTGATTTCTCCAAGTGATTTTTCTTCACACATACACCCAAAATATGATCTGAAAAACTATTTCCTTTCTTTCCACAGATAGGCAGAGAAGTTATGTTTACAAATATTTTAATTTCATAATGGATTAAAGAGGTAAAGTAGTTTTTCCTGGTCATCCTGTCACTTCCAAATTATCCAAATAGTTGTAATCTATGAAGCTACATTTCTCATGCTGTTGCAATCACCTGTAATATGCACATAATAGAAAATTTTTTTCTGTTATTTCTCTCTGGTTGAAATTGGTATCTCAAGAAAATTACTAAGCCAAAACAAACCCAGGTATTAAAAACTGTGAAAGGAGCAGGGAGAAGACATCTGCAAAGGAATAAAAAGAAAGTGTAAGACAAATGCAGGCTTTATTTCAATGAAAGCAAGACAGGAGAGAGAATTTAGATCTCCAGCACAAAATAAAATGGACAAGCGGAAACAGAACTGGTCATAAGAAAAAAAGGGTAGTTTTAGTATCTACTACAACTATCAAATATCTTAAAATTTTATAAAGCTTAGCATTAACTGCAGAAACCAATGTATGCAGTCAGTGTAATTTGTCTTATTTGTATCTCTATGTCCCTTCTATACCGCAGATACTGCAGTAAAGACAGAAGTTTCTTTCAGACTATAGAGTTTAGAGAGAATGGTTCCAACTTAGACATTTAATTCTCAGTTATCTAAAGCCACAGTAGACAAATCCCATCTTCCAGTTACAGCCACAATGAATTCTAGAGTGCCACTGGACAAGCCAGTTGACACCAAGACCATAACCTCACTGAAAAAGTTAGGTTTTCCTGTAAATGCTATGCCGTGGCAGGACTATACACTCAGCCAAGATTCTGAAGTGTCAGTAATTGGCTGAAATAGTTCTGAAGTTGAAGTCTTTAATCGTTTCTCTGAAAATAATGCCTGATATTACAGCAGAGCTCTGGAATTCAAGCAACCTATTTCTGGAGCACAAAAAAAATCCTCCCCATTTCAACAGTGAACAGTGCACGAAACCTGAGAATTTGGCAACACGCACCTGAAGATTCCTACAGAAGTATGTAACACACACCCCTCAACTATTTCAGTACTTTTCTGAAACAAGGGATGGAAAAAGAAGGAAGAATCCATGCCAGAAGGGATACTCCAGCAGCTGACAAAAGCATTTGGGCAAGAATACTTAGCGCAGATTTCACATGTCCCTGCAAAAGAAGCCCCCAACTCTTAAGAGACTCCTCCAAACATTTAAGGTTAACAACAAAAGGGGTAAATAAAATCTGATTGCCAATAACAGATTATGACAAAGTATTACTGTAATCTATCCAGTATGCACTTGATTAGTCCACTATCCTTTGCAATACAGGTTCACCGGAACTGGAAGGGTTTGATGTCAGTTAAAAGCGTTAATCTTTCTGTCACATAGCTGTTATCGCTACTCTTTAATGGTAAGGCAGCGCTCAGAAATACTACAAAGCCTGTTACCTTCATATTGGTATGACATGATATTGAGGGGAGCTGCAAGACATCTGTGTACCCCTTAAGCTGTCATTTTTCTTTAAAATGCCAATATTTTTATGAAGCAGGACCAAACAAAAGAAAACTGTCATGTATCTGCCATTTGACAGTAAGACGACAACAGCAAAGGGAAGTCAATGAAGTGTAAAAGAAACAGAAAATAAGGAAACAACTTTCTGCTGCTTAAAATAGGAAAAGTCATTGGAAGTTAGTAAGTTTTTATGGCTCAGAGTCTAAGCCAGGTTATGGTCTTCCTTTTTTGTGTGCACTGCCAATTGCAGTAAAGAAATAATACACAAAGTGAACTGTATTTTCCACTTCTATCTGATGCACAGGTCATTCCATATACGTATTTATTCACTAGGCTTTGTCTTCCATTTTGGTCCCTCGAGTCTTCTTCGCTTTTCTCTGTGGCTTCATTTTGTCCTTTCTCAGCAGAAACAGAAGCTCTACCATTCATCTTCAGCACCACTCCCAGTCCAGAAACAGATCACACACCTTGGTATCACCACATTTAAGTTGTGAAGGCTTTCCATTTTTCCACATCTGAAATGAGTTTGATGCAAAAAGCAGCACAGTCAGCACATAAGCCAGTGGATATATTCTAATAATCTCCTAATTCACTGTAATCTTTAACTCACACACAGTAAGATGACCTAGCACACAACAGAAAATAATAAAATCTTAGTATTTGCATTGTTGAACCATCCAGCATTCCAAGCTCAGAATCTACACTTTTTACTAAACATTCATACTGCAAACTGGTTCTGAAAATCCCTTTCTGTAATCACTAGGTTATCAACAAGATGCCATCCCTACCCAATGAACCTGCAAGATTAAAAAGATATGGGAACTTTAAAAATATAGCATACTATTAGTGGTGTTTGGAAGCCTACTTTTTAAAGAACAAAGTTGAAACTTACTTGCAGTATTAGTGATGAGGTCATCAATACATGCATACCGCAATTAGTTACTTATGGTTTGGTCAACTCATTATCTATAGCTAGGACTTGACTATTTGTGCACTGACTTCTTTAAACAACACCACACACACTGTTTGAGACTTTGGAAGTATTCAAAGAGCATTACAGATGTTTTGCAGCTCTTTATTAGAAGTAATTTCTGTCCTTGCAGTAATGGCCACAGCAGAGGCCTAGGAATGCCTGTAAAAGGCCACAGTTGGTATTGGAAGAGACAGAATTAAACATCTTCATGTTACTAGGAAAGACTTAAGTGGCAAATATAAAACCCACCACAGTAAATTCCACTCTCAGGATTTCGTGGATATCTACTAAAACAACTGCACTGGCCCTTTGTGCAAAATGAATATACCAAAAATACGAGCAAATGCAATAAAATGAGAACATTTTAGTACCTTCTGCAGATACCCCTTCTCTTTCCATTCTTCTGTCCCGCTGCCATCAGCTTGCTTTGCCAATCTCGCCTTGGATTCTAGCAATGTTTCCTTCTATTCTTCTGGCTCCTCCTCATGCTTGCAAATGCCTTTTTGAAATTATTTATAACCACAAGTGGATCACGACGTTTCACCAAAATCTAGCTCCTCAGAAAAGCAGAATCCAATTCAGGTGACACTAGATGTAAAGTTTATTTTCCTAGACCTTGGATACAATGCATCTTCAGCTATTACAGGGCACGGTGTATCACACACTGCATTTCATTCATGGCACAATACAAGAATCCTCCAATATACAGTGGTCCACAACTGTTTGCTTCTAACTGCAGAGATTAAGTCCGTAGGACTGTTTTGTGCTCAGCATTGAACCCTTCCCCCTGTATCAAGTGGGCTTCACTGGTCTAGTTTCCAACTATAACAACCACTTTTATGAGAATAAGCTGCACATTTTACTTAGCTTAACATAAATTTCCTACACCTACCACAAGTAATATGCTATCTATCAAGAAGCAACCTAGGAGAGTGGGAACAGAATGGTCATTTGCATCTCCACAAGAGAGGTGGAAAACAGCTGCTAGTTCAGGCCAATACATATGGTATTGAAAGAGAATACCTCTTCCTCTGCACTTCATTCATACAAAGATGATGAGATGGATGTAGCAATGGATTAGGCAGTGGGGTTTACACCCTTTTCTGCCACCGATCTCCCAGATGAATTTAGTATAACTGCTTTATACTCTTTATTCAGTCTCCCCCAGTGGTAAAACAAGGATTGTGGCTTTTCTTCAAACCACCTTGATACCTGTGGATTAGAGGTGCTGTGTAGCAGCTAAAGTTTATGTTTTTCAAGTCATCATTCCTGGTGTCCTACCCAGCAGACATGTAACGTCTGTACTAATGCATATACATGAGGATGCCAATGTTTAAAAGGTGGGGTGGAAGGTTCCCCTCTAGTTTGGGGAGTGGGTGAATCAGAAGAGAGAAGGAGAAATAAAGATGGTTAGTTATTTCTCCCTAACTTCAGCTCACATCTATTTAGAGTACTACTAAAAAGCACACAAACCTTCCTGTGACTAAGCACGCTAAACCTTCTTCAAAATATTCCTCAACACGTCTCAGACGAGACATCTTTTATCCATAGTGAAGATATAAACCAGTGAATTGATTAAAAATATCTAGAATCAGAAACTCAGCAGAATTTCATACAGCCAGACACATCTTACCATGCTGTCCTTTTTAAAAGGAGCTATATTCAAAGAAAATAGACTCCTAAACTTATGATAGACTCTTGAAGGTAAAAGCACAAAATTTCAGTAAAATTCATTAATCGCAGTGTAAGAAACAAGCTTTGTCTGCTTGCTCCCAGGTCTATTTGATATCCTGCAAAAACTTGTAGTCATCAGTTCACATTCCAAAAAAAACAAAACAAAAAAAAAAACCCAAAAACCCAAAAAACCAAAACAAACCACCAAACCCGCTAGAGTTGGTCTTCCAAAATTATTATGAATAGCATAAAATAAAGCTTTTATGTGATAACGGGAAAGTTCATTATATACACATAGCACAGTTATCTGCTGAGTATTTCCATGTTTTCAAGCCACTGCAATAAGGCTGCACATTACACTAAATGCCCTAAAATAAAGCTAAGAGACAATCCCTCGATAAAAATTAAATAGTTGTCTTCAACAGCAAGAAACCACAGTTTAACACTGTGATCATACAGTTGACATTAATTCCCAAATTAGTTAATGTTTTCTCACCTCAGTCTAAATGATGAGTTGATCTTTGGTCGTAAGCCACCATTTTCAAACAGTTGTATATGTTGCTGATTATTTGCATGGACCTTCCAACTTATACATACTGGGTTCCTCACAGAATGAGGGCTATCCTTTTGCTCTTGGAGCCCTTCATCCTCTGTTTCGCTGGATCCATCTACCACTGCTTGGAGAAACTTCTTGAGCCTGGTAAGTACATTCAACCTCCACTGCTGAGAAGTTACTCTGCGATTTGGGTTAACAGAGAGCATCCAGGAAAGTTTCTCTCTGCTTTTCAGTCTTTTTGACAGTTGCTGGTGAGAAATAAGCTCTACAAAATTCTTCAGCAATATACTGCTGCGGTCTGTGAGAAGAGCTGGGTATGCTTCCAATAAAACGTCCAAGACTTTCAATGAATCTTCCTGAATCCCCTCACTGATATGAGTCATGGCACTGGAGAGATGGGCACTTACCAAAGGAAAAAACGGAGCAATCTGTTCCGCTCTCAGTTTTGAAGCCAAGAATTGCAGCAGGTGAACAGCTGCTCCTCTGACACCAGAATCTTTGTCTGTAAACACAGCTGCCACCTCACTTATTATATTTGAAAGGTGTGCATCAATTACAAATGGATACTGAGACAGGAGATCTTTGAGCCCAAGAAGTGCATTATGCTTAACCCCAGGACTATAGTGATGCATCTGTGAAAGCAGATCCTAAAATGAAAGAAACATATATATACACTTGCTATTATTATTACTTTAAACTTGTAAAAATTCTCCACCTATTTCCAGCACATTTTTCTTGAACGCTCAAAAAAATACAGAATCTATTCTCATGATGTACTGCTGTTCACAGCAGTGTAAGATGTTCAGAACAAATACAGTATTAGTTTAAAGCATGACAATGAATAAATCATCAAAATTCAGTGACAGGAAAAACAAGATACCATGACTTGTCCTTAAGATAATTAGATAAACCTCATTCTTAAGTTTATGCATAACACAACCGACTTAACAGAGGGATGACCAAAAATAAGTCCTCTCACACTTGTTTTCAAAAGTAGAACTATGAAATCAGTCTCAACAATTTTTTTCAGTTTAAACAGAGAGCTGCAAGAGACAGAAGACGACACAAAGGAAGGAAAGCAGAACCACCACCCAAAGAAATGGAAGATTTTTAAAAAACATCATCTCAGGAAGTCTACTTGTTAAAACCCTGTCTGTAAGTTATGATCCAAGACTTTCAAAAACCAAATGTTAATCCTAGATACTTAAATCAGTGTGCAACTTTAGTTCTTGCACTGCTGAAAACCATTCCCTTGGGTTACAATATGCTGGTCCAGCAATTTATTACACTGATGGGTCGGCTTATTGTCGAGGACAGAGAGGCTGTGTTCAGATACTCTACTGGGGTTTTTTTTTTTAATGTTTTGGGTTTGTTTGGTTTTTTAAATAAATCTTTTTTTTTTCCTAAACTCTAGTAAACATAGCAAACCTAGACAAATGGCAAATAATTTTTCTGTCATTTCAGAACGTAATGTCACAGTATACCTTTATGTTAAGTTTTCTATTTTGTGTAGGAAGCACTCCATCTTCTTTAAGCTGCTCAGGAATTTGTATGGCCTTTGTTTTGAAGGTAGTATCAGTTGCATTCTCTAGTTTAGGCTTTTTTTTCCCAACTTTTAATTTCACTTTCTGGAAATCTTCTTGATGTTTCCTTTTTTTAGTCATTCTGATTCTCTGCAAAAAGATATTCAGAATTTTAGTTCAATTAAATACACTATAAAGACTTTTTCCACTAAGGAGCAGCAACTTCCTAATGAAGGGTACTGTTTTTATGCTTATTCTTATGCATAAACTCGTGCCCACTCCCAAAACAAGATGCTAAGCTAAACAGACATGCAGACTGATACAGTACAGCTGTTTTTTCAGTGTTCAGAAGACATTCTGCGGTTCCTTTGGTTGTCTTTGCTCCGAGAACTACTTTATTGAAAAAGATCACTTGACTATCTGCATCTTCCACTGCTTTATCAGATTAAGTCATTGGTTTGGTTTTGTTTAAAAAAGTTCCCGCCAATAAAGCAACTTTTTACATAGTTGACCCTTGTCAAGCCAAAAGAGCTCAGTGAACTGTTTCATTCAATTTTGTACACTGTTTACCAACTCAATCATTAATAGCATACAGTCTGCACAGGTAAAATCATGAGTTTATTCAAGCCCTCACTGATAACAGCAGCATACAAGAACCTAAGAAAAATTCCACTACACACTGAAAAGTCCCATCTGTGCGTTTACCAATGATAACTAGAAAGAATGAGAGGAAAAGACAAGGTTAAATGGGCACATATAAAGTAAAAAGAACTGAAAAACTAAGCCATATTTAATAAGGCATAAGAAATAAGACAGCATGAGTAGCTATACTTAGACGTCAGTCATACAGACATACTAGAATAAACATACAATAACCAAAACAAACTAAAACCCACAATTCAGTTTCTGAGTGACCTTTTAGCTTTGATTGATCTGTACTAATAAAAGTACTCTTAATTCTAACAGATTAAAAAAAAAAAAAACAAACCTCCACCCAAACCCCAAAACCAACAAACAATACACCACAGGTTCCTTTATCTTCCTTCCCTCAATCTCAGTACTTATAAATTCACCCATAACAAAACTCCAGAAGCTGACGTCACAACACTCAACGTCACATACAAATTGTGCCTAGATTTCTGTTAATTAAGGCCATAAATCCACGGTCTGATGACTCCTAGAAGTGGTTGTAGGAATTACTTACAATTTAAAAGGGGGAAGGGGGAGACAAGCACAAAGTCGTTATGATGTTGAGGTTTAATATCGCACAACTTTCTAATGATAATTTATAGGTAATTTATAGAGCTAGAAATCTGAACACTTGCAGATCTCACTGTACACAGTATAAAGTCCATGCTGTCAGGTCCGTAAACTTTTTGTCTGTCCTCTCTTTCAAACTATTCTCAGGGTAACTAGGTTTTGCACATTCTTAATATCTGAACTATACAAAAAAGTTGCAACACAGCATTCAAATTTTAAAGAACAACTAACTAAAAAAGAAAAAAAAATACAGCTAACTAAACCCAGAAATGTCGAAATAAAATATCCAAACAATGATTCTTTTATGATGGATATGACCATCATTCACTCTAGAAAATAGAATTCTACAGCCAATTTTTCCAATGGACTTCAAATGGTAAATTTGTGCTGTATTACAGTATTTCACATACACATTATCAGGATAATTATTAAGGAATGTTTTCAATCTAACTGTCATTTTGTATTCTTTTAAAACAATTTAAACAACTGATTATACAAACGTTTGCCTACAACTTAATTTCTGCTTTTCAAATGCTAGCTTAAAACAGCCAGCTGCAAGACCACTTTAACTGAAGTGTAAGCTTAGCATAAGTTACCTATCAACTGAAAAGGCTTTAAAAAAAACCTTGGCATTTCAATCAAGGGGGAAATAAAAACATCCTTTATCATCCAAGCATAACAACTATGGTTTTATAAAAGCTTTTGAAAATGTTTACCATATGCATCTTTTAGGAAAGAATTACAACAAGATTTTCACTACTTGATTACAAGACATACCTAGAAGCTTTTGACATGAATGCGATTTCCACTTACAAAGCTGACTTTAAAGGAGATATTTAGGAAGCCTCACTCTACAAGATTAAATGTTTGGCTTCCCATTAGCATTAAAAACTTTGCAATACAGGTGCGCGCACACCTGAACAAAGTCAATTAAGTTCTTTTAAAGGAGAAAGCTTGTAAAATATACTTTCTCCTACTAAAGCAAAGCAGCACAGTTTACCTTGCACTGCATACTTTAGAAATAGTTTCTTGAAAATCTAAACATATCCATTTCCAATTCACATGTGCCACGCTAAAACAGAGAGAAAATGGTTACAAAGCCAAAGGCATGAAAACACCACAGCGTCTACGTAATAAGACGTTAAGCAAAACCGTATAGAGCTTATGAAGTTCTGTAAACATTTTCATGAAACTTCTTGTTGAAACAGCTGCTTGCCTTTTGACTTTAACCATACTTTTGGCTGGCCCTCCTCCAACAGGACCGAGCTAAGCGCACCGAACAGTTTCTGCGCCGATGTAGTTTTACAATCCAAAACGTTAAAACAACCTCAAATCGATACCAACTTCCTTCAACGTAAAGCCGTGCGCAGCACTTTTCAGAAGCCACTTCAGGCGTCCCTCAGCCACCCTTGCATCGGGCTCAGGGAAACAGAGCGGAACCAAAAGGCGCGCCCATTCCACCTGTAATTTACTCCCTTGCCGTTTCGAGGCCGTACCCTCGGGGACTCTTGCTACCAGCGTATTTAGGAGCTCCAAGCAACCAGGAAAACCCTGACAAACCGGCAGGCAAGGGACGTGCCCTGACTCCTCTCCTCTGATAAAGATTTCCACCTGGGCGAGCTCCCCACCGGCAAA